GACAGGTTTCTGTTACGTCTTTGTCCCCAAACATGGGCACACATCCAGAATTTTCCATCTTTCCCAGGTCATGGTTGGCTTAGCCACTACAAGACCAATCCCTTAACACCCACTGGAGCCCTGACCTGTAATTATCTCACCTCTGTATCCTTACAGAGCAATGCCTTTTGTAAAGCCACCTACCTACCTGTTAAAAACCCCTGGCCCCAAGGCCACATGCTCTTTCGCTTCTCCCCCTGGGGTGGGTGCTGTTTCAGTGCCTGCCTCAGGCGTTTTTGTTTGTTATTTTCATGTTATTAAAAACTTTTCTTTTGGAAGCAAGCGATCGTTGCCCACCCCTCCTTTAACCGCCACTGTCCTCCTGTTGGCTGAAGAAGACCACCCTGGAGGTATTACTGGGGTCCCGCTGGGGGTGTTTTCTTCCCGGGCAAAACCAGCGGGTTTAAAACCCTTTAAATATATTTTTGAAAAGTAATACCCTACAATCACCTGCTACTACGCCAGATAACCTTATTTCTTTAGAAAACAGAGTCAGAAGCTACAGTGGGAGGAAGATAAGCTTTGAAACATGCTCATAGTATGTCTATACTGAAATGATCTTCCTGTCTTGAACGAGGTCCTACGTGATTATCCCGGTTGTGTCTGGTATCTCTATCTTACAGCTCATTTAAGCAAACCAGGATCTACATTTCAAGCTTAAATGAACTGCGAGGACTTGCCTTTAGGAATAGCACTGCTAATTTACAAAGGCAAGAGGGACAGTGTAATGTAGACCTGGTGCATTGAGTCATAGCAGCCTTTACCAGAATATGGCCTGGTACTTCCAAGATTTGCTGCGAGGGGTTTGCAAAAAGGAAATAAGTGTGTTGTAACTTCTCAGTCATTGTCACTAGTTGTGCAAGTAAATGAAGAGAACAGCTATAGGCTAGAAATTTCCAGAATTATACATTTTGTGGTGCAATCAGTGCCTATTACATTTGCTGCATGTTGTTGCTGCTGGCTCAGTAACTGCTGTTGGGGTGAACATGGGAAGGTAGACATGGGGAAAAAGAGGCGCAGGAGACTATAATGATAGTGGTGCAGAATTAGGACAAGTTGGATGAGGCTTTGAGCAACCTGACCTCGTGACAGGTGCCTCTGCCCACAGCAGGGGGTTTAGAACTAGATGATCTTTAAGGTCACTTCCAACCCAAACCATTCTGTGATTCTATGAATTATGAGATCCTAAGTTTTATGGCTGTAGGGCTGTTAATAGGATTTAGATCAAGCCACCTCTTCCAGGCCATTCACTAAGATTCTCACCTCTACTATATTTAAAATATCACAGCACAGGGAAAAGAAGCAGGCTCTTGGCACCTGCCTCATATTTTGCCATCTTAGCACAGCCCATGAGCAAAGTTAGATCTTAAAAGTTGGCTTAGAGAAAAGTAAGCCTGGAGTCTGTATTTTGTCATAAATTTTTATATTTCTTTAGAATGAAAGGAGCATAAGGTTAAGGCCAAAACCACTTTCAGTTGCACATACAGCTTGCAGGTGTGGGAAGAGTTTAGCCTAAAATAACTGGAGGCAAAAGAAAGAAAACCACAGCTTGAAAATGCAATGTCAGCAGGAGAAAATAGACTCTGTGGGGCACTGGTTTTCTAAAGCCTTGTTCTGTAATCAACATAGCTCATTACTGTAGCTGTGCATGATGTTGTAAATGGCATTTGGATGAATGCATTTTGTCTTCCCATCATGCTTGCTAGTTAACAAATTGTCAGCCCAAATTGCTGACCCACGCACATTGTGTCAAAGAGGAGGAAAGCAGCAGATTCCCTTTCTCAGGGTGGCCAGCCTGTGCCAAACTCTCAGTCACTGATTTTAAACCTCCTTCTGTTTAGACCTCTACGAATTCTCCTGTGGAGGTACAGGACTTTGTACAGATGTCTCTTTCCTCTGCAGTGATAATCATATTGCTTTCCTTTCCCTTCCAGTCTACAGTGTACACCTGACTCAGAGATCTGCAGACCCCATTTTGGAAATTGGTTTCCCAATCAATTTAATTTTGTGTATTTACAGTTTCACTTCATCCTTTTTTTTAAAAAAGCCACTTTCTCGTAATCTCTTAGTTTACTCCTTAAATAGTACTGATGTTACTATTGCAATGGATGGGACAGTCCATCCTGCAATCAAGACTACAGAAGGAAGTGACCATGTATCTGAGATCAGCTAGCAGCGTGTGACCACACATCACAAGTTGCAAGGCCCATCACAAATTTTGGCTCCCATGTGGATTCACTTTCGAATCTTGGGATTAAAAGCAGCTGGACCTCTGCAGTTCTTTCTTGTAATAGATGTTGCAAAGTGTTTGGGAGGAAATAAAACATTGTAAGCTGTAAGTCGGTGTGCAGACGTTGTTTTGAGGCAGGATGCAGGCTTCAGGATTCAGTCCTACAGGCTGACACTACACTATGCCTTCTAGAGATGAAAAGAGTTATGAGCCATTTTTACCCCATTCTGGTTGTTGGCTTTGCAGTATAATGCCGCCTTTACTAGGGCAGTCATTAGGGCAATACATTAGATTAATCAGGAGTTGCACTACCACATACTTTTCTCATATTTTTCAGCTCTTTATCTGTATTCACTGTTCCATCCACTGGAGTTTTCAGGGGAAACTACAAGGGTCCCACATTGCTTCTTATGTTAGGAAAATTCTCATTAACTGGCTGTGGGGGCGTTGTGTCTCCTTTGTGCCATCCAGAAGCACAGAGGGGTCAAAGAGATGTTCAAATTTCACTTCAGTCTCACTTGAGGAGGAGGAAGAAATGGAAAACAGAATGGAATTACAAATTATATCCCAAAGGTAAAGGAAAAAAATGACTGAAAGAGGAATGACTTTAGGGCTTAAATATATTTTCTTTCATATGTAATTTTTTGGTGGTCAAACAGTGTTACACTGGAGGCTGTGGAGTCTCCATTCTCAGAGAGATTTAAAACCCAGCTGGATGCAGTGCTAGGCTAGCTGCTCTGGGTGGCCCTGAGAAAGCAGGCAGGTTAGACCAGATAATCTCTGGAGGTCCATTCCAACCTCAGCTGCTCTGTAATTCTTTGCTTCTGTGATTTAGATACTTCCTTCCATTTTTCTGGAGGGAAGAATGACCTGAAAGAGCAAAAATGAAAGTTAACAAAATCTTTCCCTTTTTGAGTCTAATAGCATTAACTTCTATTAACCTTTCTGACCATTGCCAACCTTGTCAATGTGAGCAATCCTGTTAGCTGGGCTGGATTTTATCAGCACCAAAGGTAATTCCTCAGCACATCTAGGCTACCTCTGAGGTTTTCTTTAGTGTGGAAATGAGGGGGCAAGGAAGAAGCACTGATGCACGTTCTGGTTCTGTCTGCCCATGGAATCAGGATTTGGCCAAAGCGCACATCTCAAACAGGAACTACAAAATGATGCTGGGATGCTTCATGTGGATGAAGGTTATGCATACATGAGTGAGGAAGCTGTGGTATACTCACAGAGAAATAGGTGTGGGAAAAGGTTTAGCAGCCATGCTGAACACAGGCTCGTATTTAAGAGAAAGACAGGACAAGGTTTTAAATGGAGCCTGCAGATAGTGCAGGTTAGCATGGATGAATGTATGTGTTTGTAGGGCTGGGGTTTAGAACACTGGGCCTCAGGCTCTTTGGCTACATCTGTGAAGAGATACATCACTGGTTCTATCATTTAAGGTACCCTGTTATTCCACACAATTTTTAGTATCAGGTTAGGCACCTGAAGATGACGTCCATAAGCATAACTTTTCCTGACAGCTGAGAATCCCTGAGCTGGCTCAGCTCAGAAGGGGGTCTGCTCAGCATGAGTGTTGACATGAGGAGAAGGAGGACTATGTGTCTAGGGACAGGAGTGAGCAGAAGATGCAGCCTGAAACAGAACCCTTCAGTAATAAAGACACTCAAATCAGTGTTTAACTTTACCTATAGACTCATGCTGGTCTCTACCTGGGAGCACTCAGGAGTTAGCTAAGGCTTTACAAAATTGTTTGAGGCTAGACAGAATAAAGGGCTGTGGTTCCTAAAATTTTAGGCAGTGTTTAAGCATGGAGGTGCAAGACTGCAATTCTGAAAAGACTTGCTACTTTGTTCCCTAATCCAAGAGGTTCCCAGACTTCAGATATACATTGTTATTTCACTTCAGAATTATTTAGTGGTTTCTACTCATGCTGCTCTGGGAACTGCTTCCTTATTGATGTGATGAGCAGGAATTTCTCACTCATTATCCTGTAGTAGTCTGGGATTCTCACAGAAGCAAAATCCCTACAGTGGTGGAGGAAGAAGTACCTCCTTCTTCAGAGGAGACCTCATTGCCTGAGATGCAGAAAACCTGCTAGTAGAAATGACGGCCTCACACAGTGTTTCATTGTTTATATACTACTAAATGCCAAGAGCTGCCTTAATCCAATTTATGATCTGAAATTCTTAGGGCACACATTTCCCATGTTTGAATTGTATCTGTTATAGATGAGACATACAGTGACAGAAGAAAAACCCAAAGCAAATCAACAACATGTCATTTAAATTAAACCAGCCTTTGCCATCCTGTAGTCTAGTACTGGGCAGATTGCTCTCTCAACAGGTAGAGTTATCCATGGACTGCTGTGGTTCCCCAAGGTCAGCCTGATGACCTCTTCTCTGCATGCTACCAAATGTAAGACACTCAAATTAATAAATCAGTTTCTATCTGGTAATAAAATATCAAATATATCAATTTACAAAACATGTGAACGAGACTGGCAAAGTCCTATCACACATATCCCAGCAGTTTATAGTACAGTTAGTCAGAGGAAAGCTGAAAGTGAAGAAAAAGGAACATTTCCAGACAGAACAGGAAATGGGCAGAAGCAAGAAACATAAGCAAGAAAAAAGACCTAATATTTCTTGCCCCACCCCAGACATACACATATAAATAGTGAGCAAGTGATTTCCCCTGCCTCTGGGCTGCCACATCTTTGCTGCATCTCTCTGGGACCACACACCACTCCCTCCAAGATGTGGGCAAAGGTACTGTCTTGTTTCTTTGCACCGTAAGATGCATTTTTCTTTTTAAGCTTCTGTATCCTCACTCTGTGTTTTAGTAGGTGTACATCACACCATGGGACATGTGGTTTACTGGCTTTAAATGACTAGTGTTCCTCAAGATAGTCTTAATGGTTTAAGCACAAAGCTAAATGAGAACTTGTCTGAAATAACAGGTACAATGGTCATCACTGTCAGAAAAGAGAAATCCAACGTGAACAATGTAATTAAAAGCTACTAGCATAGTGGGGGTGGGGTGAGTCTGCATTATAAAGGAGAGAGCAGCACGCCTGGGTTTGTTTAACTGAGCAAAATGAAGGCCAAAAGGAAATACCATCACCCTATGTGTATATGTGCAGGGGAGTAGAGGAAGAGGAAGGATGAGAAGAAAACAGGAGACAATTTCCAAAGAAAGAAAAGAGCTATATTCAGTAATGCAAATACAAAAAAAAAGCAAGCATGTCTGTAGACTGGTTGTAAATAACATGTACCTCTACAGGGAGAAGTTTCTAATGGTCGGAGAAGGGAGGTTCTAAATTATTTTCTAACAGAGATATTAACAGCAGCTAACAGTTCCAGCCAAGAAGCAGGCTGAATTTGCATAATGGATCAATGCTTAAAAGGAAAGAAAAAAAAAATTAGAAATATAATTCCCAGATCAGTGGGAGCCAGGAAAAAAAAGGAGACATTGCTTTTCAGAGAAGCGAGATCTTGTCTTGAAGAAAAGCTGGGACTCCATGTGAGCATGAATTCAATGAAAGCTGGGATCTAGGAGCAGCAGGTGCAAAGTAGGGCTGCCAAGTCCTGGCTCCCACTGAGCTCCAAGCTCAGCAGGATTTGGGATAGCAATTCTGCTACTCAAGGAGATTAAATCTTGCCTCCTTGTGTGGCGTGGCTGCACTGGATTGAAATGCCACTTTTCCACTAATTTCAATATCAAGAAGAAGGTAGTATGGAAAGCCAAAGGTTTTTTGCTTCTGTTTTATATGAGTGTTTGTATAGATACAGATAGAGATATATAGATAGATAGAGGGATAGATAGATAGATAGATAGATAGATATCTCATAGATACTGATAGCTGTATCTGATATCATGTGATATCTTGCAAAGCTACATCACCTACAGCGCTTACCTTCAAGAACTCAAGTCAGGGAGAAAGCAGCAGAAATACAGAACAGATGAGGACATTGATGAAAGTATAAATAAAATATAAATAACACTGTGGCCTTTCTGGGAATAAAAAGAAGAATTCAAACCTTAGTTTTGCTGATGCAATTCACATAAGCAGGGGCAGGGCAACAGAAATGGTCCACATGCTAAACAGTAGCCTGAAACTGAAAGCAAAAAAAAAGAAGAAAGAAAAATCCTGTGGTGTTGTTTTGTTTTGTTTTAATTAAGATAAATGTCTACTTTTTTTTTTTTTTTTTCTCCTCAGACTATTACAGGAAATTTTGCCAATGTGATTCATGGTTTGAATGCAAACCACTTGACAGACCAAGTTATTCAGAGAAGCAAGCGAATGATTCTGGATACTCTTGGAGTGGGCCTACTGGGTACCACCACCGAGGTCTGCCACAAGGTGACACGCTACAGCAAGGTGAAGAGTCTAGCATTCATAGCACACCTTAAGGTTGAGCTTTCAGAAAACTAAGGAAAATTTGGGCTATGAGAGGAGATTTTGTCATGGTGGAATTGTTTTGGGGATGGAAGGAGAGACACAGTGTTCTTCCCACTGGAGACAGGGAAACTTTGTTGCTCAAGTTACTTTTGGATGGGCAAAGGTCTGTGTAAGAGATGGTCTGCTAAGATCCCCACTGCAAACACAATTAATGAAAAAAAACTTCCTGATTTTACTGCAAACTTCAGCAAAGCAAACATCACTTAACACTGGACTTTCCAAAATAAGGAAGTGTTAAAGTGTTGGAGATGTTAGCGGGTTAGTGGTTAAGAGTTAGTGGTTGGTTACTTCCAGTCCATAAAATGTAATTGTTGTCTGAGGCACATGGGTCATGTTTCTCATCCAGTCTTGCTCTCCCTAAACTAGAGGAGTACTTGAACCTGAGTACTTGACTTCCCAACACAGGAGAGCATCAAATGAGGACAAGTTTAGCCCACTGTCTTATTGATCAGACCTGCCTAGCTGGACTCGGGCTCCAGAGCTCTGTGTGCCAGTAAGTCTTAATACAGAGATCCCCTCCTCCCAAACTGTGGTAGTTTATGTATGTCATTTTATTTAGTTCCTCAAACACCTCTTCATTGGCTAAAAGATCTGCACAGCAAAAGGAAAGGAACAGAATCCTTTAGAGCATGGGGATACCAGCACCAAGAGGCCATATATAATGTGTTCAGGGTCTTACTAAAAAAAAAAAAAAAAACAAAGCAGAACCTTTCACTGGAGAGCTTCCCCATCAAAATGATGGCAGTCTTGAGGGAACTGACAATGAGCAGTGAGAAGGAACATCAGTGGCTAATCAGACATTGTGTGAAGGTATCGAAAGGCCAGGCAGAAGGTGTTGGTCTGCCCCTGATGTCTGTTTGGGTGGCAAGGGACATAAGCCAACAGGAAACTGTTTCCTTGTGTGCTTTCTGAAAGAACAGCATTTTTCTTGTGAAAGGGAACAATTGGGTTCCAAGAGGGTATGGCCTGATCTCAGTTACATCAGAGATACAGCACAAATTTATCCTTGAGTTCAGGACTTAGAATTAATTTGTGTCCATTTCTTTCAGATCTACAGCTCAGATATATCTAGTACCATCTGGGGACACTTGGATTTCCGACTGCCTCCTCTGTATGCAGCTTTTGTGAATGGAGTGGCTGTAAGATATGCTCTTTTATTTGCTCCTAAATCACACCGATGACATTCTTGCTCTAGAAAGAACAGGATGTGCCTAAAATTTTAGTTTATTCTTCTGCCTGAAGCCTGCTACAAAACTTCCCTAGACTGTTCTAACATGCTTCAACTTCTTCCAATGAGACCAAACTTGAGGATTAATACATATATCTAATCCAACTTAACAGCATCCCTTATCTTTAATATGGGACTTGGGGCTGTTTTCAAAGGTCAGAATTCTACAGCTTGTTAGAACCTTGCCACAGCCGTGTTACAAAGAGATACTCTTGCTTTCATCTATTTCACTGGGACCCAAATTTTACACCATCTGGCAAAGCTTAGTTACTGAAAAACAGAAAGCCAGATAAATGCACATATATGTACACACATATAATATCACAAGGCAATTTAATCTTCAGTTACACAGTTTTCAAAATCCAGTCATATAGTTTGGAGACATACTTTGTCATTAAAGCAATAGCTGACTCCCCAGACATTTGTCTAAATTCAGATTGAGACTGAAACCATTTGAAATTGAAAGATGCACGAAAGGTGGGGTAGAAAAATTAGGCAATTATGCAAAATTAGGGAAGGTGGCCAACCAAGGAAATGGTAATATTAAGCCTGTGTAAATTAGTGTGATAACAAGATCAGAGGTCCATTTTGACACCTCATTTCCAGTGTAGTGAAAATTACCTTGGAAATGACATCGGGTACGTCTCAGCTCCTAGCAGCCCATGTGATATTCAAATCTGGCTGTGAGCAGGTATATGATCATTTCAGTTTACATCTTGGTCACAGGTCAATTCTAAACTCTTATTAAGGACACCAGGAACACAGCTTACCAGTACTGGGTACAAAACGTTCCTTATCCTGCACTGCAGAGCATCTTCCCAGCTGGCATCAAAGTTTTGCAAGGCGGGGTCCAGTTTTTCCTCTGTCTGTTCCCAAGTGCAGTCCTCAGAAGGGCACATTCCCAGTACTACGGGGCAAGACCTGAGCACTGGGGAGCCTGACCACCAGTTTGCTCTGAAGTAAGACACGGGTGAACAAACGTGAAAGTTCAGCTTTTGAGGCATTGTTATGTCATTAAAAATGCTGACCCTAATGTTCTCAAAACTCTGGGGGTTTTCTGACAAGGAGTACGTCGCAAACACTGAGTGCACTTCTGGGAGCAGTCTGCTACCAGAACAGCAGCTGCATGTCATGCTTGGAATGCCCCAAATCACCTTGAGTAGCTGCACTCTGGGCATGCAAAAGAGTAGGCACCTCTCTGGGGACTCTCAAGGACTAAGCAGCTCATCCCAGTTTTAAGAGTGTAGCTTTTCCTAGCAACACCAGGGAGTCTGGTTTCTCATGTGACAAGTTTTGTTTTGACATGCTGAAAATTCAGGCTAAAGTCTGATCTACGTTTGTAGTCTTGTGCCCGTTGCCTGTGGATGGTTGCAGCAGAGAGGTAGTTTTGGTGATTTAACTTTCAGTTTGCTGTATGCATTTGACTGCTAAAGCTTTAATGGTGTGTACCTTAACATCAGCATCAGTTGCAGCATTGGGGAAGTTGTTGCATTATGCTTATATACTGTTTAAAGGGAAGTGAAAATTCACTGTTCACAGGGTGAACCTAGAACTGCTGCTTTAATTATATTAGTCTAATTAAAGTAGCAAAATCCTATTGTAGAAAAGAAGAACCATTGTCACACTGGTTTTAATCCGGTGCAACTGAATTAGAATTCTACTCCTTTGGGAAAATTTGTATTGCATTGCCACTTCTCACAGAGCCATGTTGGGTGTACAGGTCTTTCAAAGAAAGACTGCTGAAGTTTTGCTTTTTAAGAAAAATATCTCTCTTCACATCTTTTTTTAGACCAGTAACAGCAGTTTCAATTGACTGAGACAACCCTGCCATTTCAGAGCTTATTTCTGATCACTGCATCTCTCTCCATTAGGTGCACTCAATGGATTTTGATGACACGTGGCATCCAGCCACACACCCATCTGGGGCTGTGCTGCCCGCTGTGATTGCACTCTCAGAGGCCTTCCCTCAAAAGAAAAAAATCTCAGGTCTTGATCTGCTCTTAGCTTTCAACGTGGGAATTGAAGTGCAAGGCAGGCTGCTGCGCTTCTCCAGTGAAGCCAGGAATATTCCAAAAAGGTACATAGAAATGCTTCAAGTAGAGCATTGAGTAAAATTTTTTTTTTCTTCGTGTTAATATACTTGATAAAATGCGAGTTAGAATACAGGCAGAGTTAATCACATTTTCTATGTTATTTTCTGGAAATTTAGAAAAAGTTAATCTTAAATATAAATGCATTTATATAACACCTTACAGCTTAGCTAACAGATTTCCTTTTGAGAGGACTGATCACTTTACAAGGAGGTGATGAACTCCCTATTTATTAAAAACAGCAGCAAAAGGGCAACTTTTAACAGCAGAGGTCTCAGGTTTCCATGAATACATACGATCATGCCTCACTTGCACGAACACTTGTGTGTTCCTCCTACCAATTTTGCAAAACTCATTCAGAATAACAAAAATTGCCTTCCCCAATATGTGTAATTTGTAGATAACTATGAATTATTTACAGATAATTTGTAGATGACTATAAATCATGATGCTGGACATTGATTCAATTGGGCATTAGGAAGAATTTATTCACTTAGAGAGTGGTTGGGCACTGGAATGGGCTGCCCAGGGAGTTGGTGGAGTCATCATCCCTGGAGGTGTTCAAATAAATGAGTAGATGTAGCACTTGAGGCTATGGTCTGGTGCTTAGGGAAATGTTGGGGGGAAGGTTGGACTTGATGATCCTGGTGGTCCTTTCCAACCATAGTGATTCTACAATTCTATGCTTTTGCCGTTATTCTGTTCAGCATGCCTTAAACTATGAGCAGTTCTAACATTTCAGTTGCTTTCTGGGGAAGACCTATTGTGAGTGGTACTATTTCAGTTTAACTTGTCCTTGGGGAAGAGCGACAACTTCTTCTGTTAGGACCACACATGAATTCTAAATCTATCTTTGTTTATGGTCCAATCTGTCTTCCACAGCAGTGGAAGGAAATTGGAACTTGTCTATATAACGAGTCAGGTGACTTTTTGAAATATAGTAACAAAGAGATTTTGTTTTCTTAGGTTTCACCCACCAACTGTAGTTGGTACGATGGGGAGTGCAGCAGCTTGTGCTAAACTGCTAGCTCTTGATCAGCTGAAATGTAAAAACACCTTGGCTGTTGCTGCCTCCTATGCAGGTGCCCCACTGGCTAATGCAGCAACCCAAACAAAGCCCCTCCACGTTGGCAATGCTGCCAAGCATGGACTGGAAGCAGCTTGCTTAGCATTACAGGGCCTTCAAGGAAACAAACAAATCTTGGATATGGAGTCGGGGATAGGTGCCTTTTATACAGATTACAACCCACAGACTCTCCCAACCTTGCAGTCCTATCCCTGGCTGCTGGACCAGCAAGACGTGGCCATCAAACGCTTTCCTGCTCATCTTGGAACACACTGGGTGGCTGACGCAGCATCTTCTGTTAGAAAGAAGCTTGTGAAAAGCAGTGACCACTTACTCCCCCTCGATAAAATTGAGAAAGTTATTCTCAAAGTCCCGGAGGTCAAATATGTGAACAGACCCAGCCCTACCTCAGAGCACGAAGCTCGACACTCCTTCCAGTTCGTCGCGTGCTCCACTTTGCTGGACGGCAGCATGTCGGTCCAGTCCTTTGCCAGCGAGAACATTCACCGGCCAGCCTTGAGGAAGCTCCTCTGCAGAACGCAGCTGGAGCACCCTCCTGATAACACACCTAGCTTTGAGAGTCTTTACTGCGAGGTGAGTGTCACCCTTCAGGATGGCAACACCATCAGCGACCGCTGCGATACGTTCTATGGGCACTGGAGGAAACCTCTGAAAAAGGAGGACTTGGAGAAAAAGTTTCAATCCAACGCCTCCAGGGTCCTGCCTGCAGAAGCCACAGAAGGCATTATAGAGACAGTGTACAATCTGGAGAAAGTAGAGGACTGTTCTGTGTTAGGTGCGTTTTTATCGGGACAGTCAGCTAGAGCACTTTCAGAGAAGCTGTGCTTCCTTTGACTGTCCCAACCAACAGCTAAGACGCTGTTCCCAAAACAAACACAAAATTCTTGTGACGAACTGTTTAGTGACTCAAGCACTTTTAAATTGGACACCTGAGGCAGAAGAGCTATGCTCAGTCCAGTATTGTGGGTTTTGACTAAATAATTTAGCGATTACATGCACTGCTCCGTCACGATGAATGGAGGATCCTATGCTGGTACCCAACTTCAAATATCTTTAGACCTCTGGAAGCAGAGCACTGCTTCTGCATGACAAAATTTTTCCTCCTCTTCTGCCAAAAAAAGTCTGCACATTCTGATTCTGCTAAATAACTCCATAAAGGAAATTCAAATACTGGAGGAGTGTGGAAGTGCTGTGTGTGTGAGAAACATCCCTGTGAAAAGGACAGAGAACAAAAGCCTTTATATTTTTCTATAGATTCAGCTCTAAAGACTCCTTGAAACGGCCACTTGTTAAGTGAGGGCTTTGACGTTTGTGCTAAAATAAGCCCGGCACACGTGCAGAGCAGCAGCACTTGACACCACAACAGGCCAGGCTCCGCTGTCACGGCTGGCCTTGCGTTGAGCAGGCAGAGGCTGGTGTCCCTCCCGATGGCACCGGCTGTGGAGCGAGAGGGACAACTCAGCGCTCCTCGTCATAGAAGCGCCATTGCCCAGCTCCATCTTTTGGCTGCTCTGTGGTGCGGGTTTGGTCCTGCTGTAGTGCTGTTCCAGCTACAAGGCGCTCACTCAGCAAGACATGGTCAGCACCAATTAGTGGTGACAGGTTTAGATCACTTCAGGCACTGCACAGCATGGACTTCAGTATGCTCATTATGACTGACAGAGACCTGTGAGCATCAGAACCCTTCTTGTGCTGAGACAATTAAGTGTCCACAGTGACAAGCAACTTCCCTTGACAGTGAATTCTGGGAATTTGTAGTTCCCTCAGAAGAAAGCCTTGCCACATTGTGTTTCTAAGAGGCTGACAACCTTTGCCCACATTTGTAAGATCAAAGCATGTGTTCTAACATACATAAAATGTACCTTCCTTGGGGCACTGAACTATGACTAAACCTCAAATTATTTCCTTTATTAGAACAAAAGCTGTGTCTTTACCTGTCAAAGTTTAGGGTGGGGCCAGCAACTAAATGACAGATCCTCTCTATTAGCCCCCCTCTTTTCCCCCAAGGGGTAGAGAAAAAGAATAAGGGAGCAGGACTTACGGACTGGAAAAGAAAACTAAAAACAGATTTAATGAAAACAGTATTAACAAAATAAAATATATTCAAAACCAGTATCCAACCTAACCTCCCTGATGGCAGCTACATCACCATCACCACTAATGCTGTGGAGCAGGCACTGGGGAAGTCCCAGACCGGCCTCAGTGGCAGATGGGAACTGGATTCAGGAACATACAGATGGGATCAAAGGCAAAATGGACAGAGTCCTCTTTGGATGCCAGCCATTGAGTAAGAGAACTTGACCCTCACAATCCCTCAAGTTTCTACTGAGTATGATGTATAAGGGATGCAATACCTCGCTGGTCAGTGTAGGATCACCTGTCCTGGCCCCTCCTCCCTGCAGGTGGATTTACTTTCTGCCCCCCTCTGTGTGGTGCAGAGGATTCAGCAGTGACCTTGGTCTGCACACCAGTCCTTGGTGGTAACTCTGAACATGGAGCGTTATCACTGCTAGAAGCAGGCACTGTCTGCAGGAATGTGCTGCTGGCTTCAGACAGAGCAGCTAGTTAGAAAAGACTTAGCTGAAAAGTAAAATCATTGAACGGAATTAGTTCTGTTCTACCCCAAACCAGGACTTTCCCACACATAATGTATTCATTTGTACTTAGGCCTTTGGCTCTTGGTTTATAAAGTTGGTTTATCTAGGGGGACTCCACAAAAATTTCAAAGGTCCGTTAGTTATATTGCTTAAAGGCTTCATGGGAAGAAAAAAACCCCACTTATTAACATTATTTTCTTTTCCCCTTCTGATTTAGAAAGAAGAATTTACTCACTTATACTGAAGGTACACAGGCTCACTTACAGCTATTTCATCTGTAATTATAGCTGGGTAATACCAAATGTGAATTACTGAGAATATCATTAGTGACGTTATAAAACCCTGCTGGATGGGGGGGGGGGGGGCCTACATTACCTTATCAAGACTGAATGCATTCAGATTCAGGGGGGAAAAAAAAATGGAAAATAAACCCTAAACCAACGCAACCAACACAACCTTCAGCACACGCTTTCTATTTTAAAAGAGAAATAAATAGGACCAACTCAGTGATAACCATCTCATGTATTATAGATTTAAAAAAAACAAACTAACCAACCAAGAACTGTGAGGTTTCACAGGTGCATTGTTTTATTAATGCAATCAAAGGAAGCTAAATGCTTATGCTTGGCTAACTTGATTTCCCTGCAGAAGTCTGCACGCTTCCAGTCAAGCAAGTTTCAGCACTTCTTGTACCATTGTTCCGATCCCGTCAAAGATTTCATGCAGAGGAGCCTTGCACATGAAAGCACAGGTCGTAACTATTTTATTGGCTTGATCCACATGGGATTCATTTACATTTTTGCAAACGTGCTTACATCCAAGCTCTGCTATAGCAGATGCCGTTTCAGCATCAGGAAACCTGTAAATAAAAAGGTTGTAATTAACATAAAGAGAAGATACCACCACAAAGTTCTGCCAACATAATGTGAACGAGAGAACTACAGGAATATTTAGAGTGAATTGTTAGTCGATGATGACAAGGGAGTCAAGCAGACTGGCACTGTCAGGTTCTCCCATCCCCTTATGGACTCAACAAAGTATCTTCAAAAACAAGGTCTGAAATGCAGAGCCACAGTATGTCAGAAGGTACAATTCTGCTTTTAACAATCTTTCAACAGGTTTACAACTACCACCAGAAAATCTTTATTAAATATCCCTGAGCAGACAAAAGCCTACAGATGCAACTTAAACAGCCACTCAAATTACCATAGGGTACCTAGTTTCTGAAGAGCAGCTGGACAGATGCCCAGTCTTCATGAATCGTGGCCTTCAAAGGCACTGGGTAAGCAAGTTCTGTGTCTCACTTCATATGAGCTAACATCTATCACTCGATTACCACGAATGCAACATGAAAAGATCACTTGATATCCTTGGTCACCTTGTGATTCTGTACAAGTGGCCGAGTTCTGTCACATTTAGGACCGACGGGTGTGGTGACATCCTGTGATTTGTCACCACCCACAACGCACAATTAAGCCCGTGCAGGAGCCTACGGCACCTTCAGTGGCTCACAGACCACCTGGCTTAGGCAAGAGACAAGGGTACCTACAGTTTTTGTATTATTAATTGTAATGTGTCTGTGGATGCTGATACTACAGAACATATCACAGACCAACATATTTCTGAATTCAGGGATAAAAAGTTCCAGCATTGTAGCACCCAAGTCACGCAACCTCAAGGATTCAGTTTATCTGCACTGAGAGTTCTGTGCCTACTACTATTATGCAAGAGGAAATCTGAAATAAATGCAAAATGTCACTAATAATTTATCCAAGTTTTACTGGCACCAGAAATTTCAGACTTCTGCATAAAAGACTGTCCATTTCTAACCCTAATTCCTGTGCAAATTACTCCATTCACTTCCTTCTTACCTTCCATCTATGTTTTTATCTTGTCCAACCGTAACCTCACAACCAGGAAAGACTTTAGCTGCCAGAACTGGTGAGATGCAGCACAAACCAATGGGCTTTTTAGCACTGTGGAAGGCTTGGAGTGTGGAGTTCACGTGCTCATTGACAGTACAGTTCTTGCCATCTACAGCCCAGGAACACAGGTTCTTTGCTACTCCAAAGCCACCTGAAAAAAAAAAAAAAAAAAAGTAAACCAAAAATCCTTCCTAAAATCTCAAATATGAGATACTGCTAAAAGCCATTAAATTCAGTACCAGAGGTAACTTCTCCTTTTCTTTTACAAGAGTGTTGGTATAACATGGGACTGTTACTGTACTGCAAGCTTTCAGCACGTGAAACACCATGGTTTACAATGTTAAAAGTTTAGCAGCACAGTTCTTATACCATGTATGTTACACTGGAGCAAGGTTAAGCGTTCTGGCCTATGAGCAACAAACAGACAAACAGGAAACTTCACATTCATTTGCTAGCCACTGGTAAAGCTGCACCAGCTGACACACACCCCTCAATAAGCAAGAAAGGGATCAGAAGAAAGACCAACAATAGTTCAAAAGAGTGTAATTCAAGAGAGTAATGATGCAAACAGTAATAGGACCATCTACAGCAATTCACTCTCAAGTTTAAGTTCAGCACTTAAGCAATTACAGGAGAGCTTTTCTTCCTCCCCTAGAATTATTTTTGGACTTTAAAAGAAAAAAAAAATGTTAACACAATAAAAACAAAAGGGATAAAATGGATATTACATGGAAAGGAAACGATAACACGATATTCTGAGACATATCACTTATGAATGATAAGATAATTTTCTATTAAGCATAATGTTGGATTTGTGTTTCTAGAAGTAAGTTATAACAGTCCTTTACGTGCATTTAATCATTGTTTAGTTGTACAAACATTGTATTTTAGAGCACCTTCATTTGCTGGATTTAGAACCATCAGAATAATCAAAGTAAGAAGCTTATTGGTCAGTGAAACCATCCCATACATTCGATTCCTTATGGAATATGCATAACATGAACTTTGCTACAATAAACAAACTGAAATTTCCACAAGTACTTCAATGCACAACCTCAAGGAACTTTGCCTTATCAATGTTTTTCCTTTCACTCTTTGTTTTTCCTTTCACGCTTTCCTTACTTCTGAGTGTTACATGGACTGTCTGAAGTAAGACTTTAATTTTCAAACCTAATAGGGTTTTTTCCCTCTAAACGTTATTACAGCAACACCCCCGAGCCCGGGTTATAACAGCATGAAATTAACGTGGAAAATATTTGCTAGCCTTTATTCCCTGATGAGTGCTGATGTCACCCCCCCATTTTAGGGCTAGAAGCAGGTTC